AAAGAGTGTACTATCAATATTCCCATCACCAGTCCAAGACATGCCCAATCTGACAACAGCGTATATGAAGGACGATACAAGATGTTCACAGCTGATAATGACATCCAGACAGACAGACTCTGCACCAAATCCAGAACTGACAACATTTATAGATAGGATAGTTCAACACAGTCTGAAGATGCACACTGTGATGGAAAACCGTAACTTTGGGTGAACTACATCGAGACAAATGTCAAAGGGGATAAAAGCTACAAGCAGAAATAAGGAAGAATACTGGGATGTACATGTCAGCTGCACACATGGCACTGTGCCGACTGAAATAATTGAATTTCAAGCTGCCAAATACTTTTTATCAAAAACTTGCCTTCACACAGTATTCTCTCTTCCTCGGTATTTTCTAGCTGGACAAGGATTTTCCATTCTCTATGAATTATTTTCAAGGTAGCATTTAGATGTTGCTGGTCTAATTTAAAAGCAGGTTCAAAATAACTGGCAAGGGTGAACAAGTTTGAGGAACATCTTCCCTGCAAAACAGTATGCATCACTTCTTTGTCAGGCCTGATGAAAGTACTGCATTCAGTAAAAGCTACGTAACTTTTTCCAGCAATATCCGTTGATCTAGTAGTAGACACCAGCATGCCCTATGAATCTGGCTTCCTGTATTTTACGAGGCTTATGCAAAATCCTTTCAATTATTTTGGATTTAAACATTAACAGAGTTTCCCATCAGCCTGTGAGAACAATTCAAAACCACGTGAACTCGGATATTTAGAACTTGGTATGAAAAAAGCATAACTACATATAACAGAGGAGGAAATCCCATTCAGCTACTAGCAAGTGCAGTTGCATCTGGCAGGCATATACAAATAGGTAATAGGTAGCTGTTTACATCAGTTTGCAAAATCAACTGCCTAAAAGATTTCGAGCAAAAGGTGTTAGGGACTGAAAAGCAAAAGGTTTTTAATTCTCCAAGTCCGCTGAAAGGCAGCAGCTATCTCAGGACTGCAGGCTGAGGGGGAGGCAAGGGGAAGCAAGTTTTAAACATAAATACAAACGTGAAGTTCTAAGTACCTTAATGAAGAATGTCCTGCAAATTACTGGATTATGGCACAGAAAAAGTTGCAGTTGTGACTGCAGCGAGGTACACGAAGACAGTCTCATTTCTCAAAGGGTGCCAAGACATTCTAGTTTTACAAATGAACAATGTCTCTGTGTGCAACAGGGGGTATATCAATAACGAAACAAAAAAGCCAGTGAACTTATAGGGAGTCCATTACAAGAAACACCACAGCTCTCTATAGCTTAAAATCTGCTTTCCAACAACTCAGCCTGGCGAACATCCAAAAAGCCCTTTTCCACTCGTATGCTGGCAGCGATTTCAGGAATCATTAAACAAGAAGTGAATAAAAATATGGATAGCTTCAGTAAAACAGTGTAAAATAAAACAGTACAACCAAGAAATCTTTTGCAGATTTTCAGTTTTTTGGGGGAAAGAAAGTTTTATCAACTGCCTTTAACCCAAAAATGAAATACAAGCTATGATCATGTACTCAAATATCAGAGTATAAAAGTGCAAAATACAGAAGCTGTATGAATTAAACTAACAAAAGCTCAGTACCAGAAAAGTAGGATTACACCTTCTGTGTTTAAGTCCCTTATATTCAGCTATTTAACAAATGCAGCTTTGCCTTGTTTATAGGAATTGTTCGGTTAACACCTACAATCCTGTAATCTCTGTGCGAGAACCAGTGCATTTCCAACATAAAGCTTTAGAAACTTCCCATATGCTACATCATGTTCACTCTTACAATTGACCAAAATTCACAGATTCTCCATGTGATAATGAACTCCCCAATCCAGATGTGAGTAAAGAGAGGATTAATAAAGTTCTACGTACGTATAGATGCTTCAAAATAACAAAATAACACAGAAATAATGTAAAATTGGACCCAAAACATCTCTGAGGAATATGCAAATGGTAATTCCCAGTTCAGTATCTGGACAGACATTAAACAGTCCATTCTGTCACGCCATCTGCTAGGTAGTTACCAACCCTGCTCTGTTCTTTAAGCTATTTGTGCTTTATTTTTATTTTTAAGCATGGAGCCATTCAACTTATTTGGAACTCAGATAAAAGACACTGTGGTGAATTTAAAAATTAAAGGCAGGAAAAAGTGATACACAGCAAAGAATCAACTACAAAAAAAAAATTCAAGTTTCAGATAAGTGATAAGGAGAATTAAAAAATTACATCTAAATGCTTGCTTGAATTGCACTCCAAACAAGTTTATGTTCAGCATGTACAGCAAGTCATGAAACCTTAAGCTTTGTTTTCAAAGTTTTGATTTAACACAATAGTTAAAACGTTTGGGAAAAAAAAAATGTCAGTCTACATTAAAGAAAAGAAATTGTGGGAATTATTGTTCTGTGTGTGTGTGTGCACGTGCACACGTGTGCTTGTATGCATGTATGGAATCATAAAGTAGCCCATTAAAATATCACGTCAGACTATCAGACTAATCACAAGCCAAATGCCAACAAAATCTTACCAGTACAACTGAACAGCAGGAAAGCAAAGATATATGCAGAGAACACACAAGTCTCAGACTACATCATGCAAAAAACAGTATGGAGATCACCAAGTTGCCCTCTTGGATCTGTACTAAATCTACAAAACACAAGAGAGCACTGTGTGGATCTAACTGCTCTAGAACTAGTCTGAAGTCATACAAAGAGTGCAATGCAGGCCAGCTTATGTGAACCAGTTGCAAAAATCCCTGTGCTTGGGACTCTAGAGCACCCTTAGGTCAGATGCATCTCTTTGGTTAGATGAAGACCTACTGGAGGAGATTCAACTGCAGAAATCCCATTGAAAGTTGTTTTTCAAGTTTACAAGCCATTTCTGACCAAAACGTGACTCTGAAGGCCAATGCAAAAATCTGTATCCACTATGCACCACATTCACTGAGATACCTATGTAACATAAAAAGTGATCATTCACAAGTCTTGATACAACACAAACACCAAGGGGATAAGGGATCCACTTGTGCTTGCCCCAGGTTTTCTTCATTTGCAACTCAATAAAAACCTTCAGTATTTTAAAGATTTGCAAGAGACAAGCTGTTCTGTGCTGAGGTCACTATGGCGAAGAAAAGAGAGAGTTGTGCTCATGTCTATCAATAACTATTTAAAATCTTAATCAAAAATACCACTGGTGCCTGAATATTTACTCTTAAAACCTCTCAAAAACTAATTCTTTGGAATAAGCCAAAACAAGACTGAGAAAATGTTGTGTTATTAAAAAAAAGACAAAGAAAGTGACTTAGAACAGGAACTTTTTTTGAAAGGAAAACCTCTAAGGCTAGTTCAAAGGCCAAGCTGAAAATGTATTTATTTTCCTTACTTTCAGAATATCTTGGGTTTCATTCCACTTGTTTGTCCACTCTTTGGTCAGTTCTTGTACCTATAAAAGAAAACAAATATTGGAAAAAATCACCTCTCTTCTAAAGTCCTTGATAACACATTCTCAGAGAAGTACTAAATATTTGTGCAATTCTTTGTGAAGTTTAGTACTTAAACATTTAGGAGAGCACTGTTGCTCCTGCAATAAGTGGCCATACCTACAATTTCTCTCTCTCCCAAAGGGGTGGGGGGGGGGGGGTTTATAGTGTAAAATGAAACAAAGGACAGGGATAGCCACTTCAAATAATGGCAGGCATTTTCAAAGAAATGAAACAATTCCATGAAGTGCTTCATCAGTCCTACAAAGTCTACTGCCACAGATTGATCCCATAGCTCTAACAAGACGACAGCTCCTTTCCTACAGCGCAGGTAGGCATGTTCAGACGAAAATACCCTCCAGAAACTGCAGAGGATGGCTTGCAGAGGAAAAAGCAGACAGGCAGCCTTCAGGAGAGAATCAGAGCAAAGTTTGCTGCAACTTCGAAATCACACATTTGGTTGAAATCAGCACAGAAGGGAGAAGCTGCTTGCAAAGGCATTACAGACAGGGACAGCACTGGGTATGAACGCTGAGCTTTTGTGCTGCTTTTCCTACTCATCCAGTTGTCCATCTCATAAGTTAACTTTCACAGCTTCCATATCGGTAAAGGCTCTTTTAATTTCAGAGTCTTTCAGACTTTTCAGGCAGTGCATAGATGGTGCTTCAGGCAGATCTACCGCAAAGCTCTGGCTGACTTGGAATCATAATCACATTAAATAGAATAGACACTTTCAGTTTTTAAATCACCAGATTTCTGTGCAAGAATTAAATACATAGAGTTTTAAAACCATACACAATCTTTTATTATTTGAATTCACTTCAACTGCAGAAAGCTGAAAAAAAAAAACCCAGCTATGTCCCCTTATTACTTTACATATAAAACCACTGTAGAAAAAAAACAGGTCGTCAATGCAGTTCCTCCAAACATCTCCACATTTGCCACCTGCAGCCTACTATCCTAGCTGTCTTTGCAGATCAGCTGCAAATTAATCAATGGGAACTAAAGAATCTTCTCTCATCTCTACCTGTATCTCAAGATTTCAGAGAAAAGTAAATACATCTTTCAATGCATCATGTCAGTCCTCGTGCTGCTAAGCAGAATGTTAAAACAAAAAATAATTGACAAGATTAAAGAAAAACATGAAGGAGGTCCATCATAAGTCTATTCACCATACCAGAACAATTTCTATTCCTCAGAAATCATTTAAACATTGTTCTTATGTAAGGACAAACCAACTCATTAAAGAAAGCTACCACATATTTGTCAGATAATTTAAATATGGTGATAAAGTCTTTAGATCTGTATAAACAAATTAATTATTGCACTCATTCAATTATAAAAAAAGCTATAACCACTGCAATATCTACTAAGAATTTTCAGTAATTATATCTATTGTAATTATCATGAATAGTAATCACATAACCTTCTAATGAGGCTGACAAAAGATAATAAAATATGCTCGATATACTCCCCACACAGGAGGGGCCAACACGTCTGAGCAGGACAAGCGGTGATTACTGTCAGAGCATGAATAACATACTCTAATTAGCATATAGTCAGCAGTCCATATTACTCAGCTACTTTTAGATAAAAGCTTTATGTTTGTACACAAAAAACAAAGCATACTACACGTACTAACAATATTATCATTCACCTCTGCTTCAGCTAAAAAAATTTTTAAAACCTAGTATGAATATGAAAAAAAAAAAATTGCTACTGAAGGCTCACACCATGGTTATGCAGGTCCTACTTTAATTACTGAATAGAACACAGTAAGGATTCCTGCATGTACTAGAGTTGTAAAAAGCGTTCCGAGCAGAAACTTGGCTTATGGAGAGGCCTGGTGTCTACTTTGCAGCTATGGTTCATACTAATACACATATTTTGTCCATTGTTGTCATGAAGTTTCTTTTTAAAGTATCATTTCACTGAAAAGTATTTCAACATGCCTTTAAAGTTGGTATTACCAATGGGAATCCTGAAAAGCGCAGACAGCTACCGTTCCAGTTACTTAGATCAAAACGGGATTCTCAAAGCAATGCATTCATTCTCTAATTGTAAAGGTCTAAGCAGCACCACTGCAAACCTTACAGTTTAAACCAGCTAAGAAGCCCCTATTTTTTTAAAGGTGTCATATCTACATTTGATTGACATCTTGTTGACAATATTCAGAACTAAATATTTGCTGTCAGGTAGCTGAATGATTCCAAATACTTTCCTCTCTCCTCTTCCAAAGTCTGAGTAACACTATTTTTTTAAAGCAGTTTGCAGTAGCTTTAAAAACAGGCAAGTATACAGAAAAGAATTAACACAGAATGACAAAATAAAGAATGAAAGATTGCAAATTAGAGAAATGAGAGTACCATTATATCTATATTCTTTTGGACTCTATGAGTATAGCTAAACTGTCTGGGAATTTTTCCTCGTTTCTACACTGGGCTGGATTATTAAAACAACTTGGTGTGAGGCACACTATGAAGTACACCTAGATCTTAGACCCTCTCCCAAAAAAGACAGCTAATTAGTCACTGAACATATTTGTACATATCAGATTTAAAGACTGAAATTTTCTGAAAACCTACCCCACAACACAAGTTATTGATTACTTGAAAAAGTAAAAGAGTTGATCATTTCCCCCATAAAGCTTTTACTGTATTTTCTACACACTGAATGCTTTGTTACTCTGATTACTGGTTACTGATTACTCTGATTTAGTGGCTTTTCCCTCTCTATTCTATTTCCAAATATACTTTCTTATTAAGGCAAGCTGGCCTTAACAAACAAAATATTTTCATTAAATAGAACCGCTATATAAATATCAAAGATATACTTTGTTCTTAGTTACAATGTTATCTTACATTAGTAGGGTAACAAAATTACAAGTTCACACATAGGTTTTGTTTTGGTTTTTTTTTAAAAAGGCACCAAGACAATGCTGTTCGGTGGGAGAAAATTTAGTTGTGTATCAAAAAAAAAAAAATCCTGAAAATTACCAACACTTTTGCATCCAGACACCCCCCCCCTTTCCTTTTTTTTGTTTAAAAACTGTTTTATGAAGTTATAACTCACCCTTGCTTCATTCTGCTGAAGCTTTTCTTCCATACTTAAAGCTGTTGGAGAATCCAAGAGTGCGATCTAAAATCGTAAAAAGTAAACATCGAGTTAAAAAAAAAAAGGAAGAAAAAAGTAACAATATCTGGCAGAATCAAATGAAATAAACACAATTGTTCAACTTTTTTGATTATTTAGGATGACGTATTTTTAAGTCCAATATACATCATTTTGCCTTGAAATACTGTAAACAGAGTAATCGAAATCTTGTCAAAGTAGATATTTCAAACACAAGTCATTGGTTTGAGAGTACTATTTTCATTCACTATGTACACACATGGTCACACATATGCAGACACTGAAATTGGACACACGTTTATAACGGGTAACTCCTGATACATCTATCTTTATATTTCTGTTAAACATGAAAAATTATTATCATCAATAGTTAACCATATACATCCATTAACATATATATATTGCTTATCTTTAATAAATATATATTAAGGTAACTGGCCTTAGAAAAGGAAAACTACTCTACAACATGCCCACACACAAGCAATACTCATTGTTATGTGACCTTCTACACTGAATCCAGCACTGTATTTTGATAACCACTATCTTCAGTGATCTACAGAAGCATTTGCAATACAGTATTCTGGGAACATAAAGGAAAACCACAAAAGAAATTATACAGAGATTTATATTCTACTGTGCATACATAACACCACCTGCTGTTTTACCAACCATCACAAATCCAATTAACTCAAGCAAGTTCTCTATTGTCTCCCACACAGCCATCTATCACATCCTACCACTGAACCAGATTTATTTTGTGATATCCACTGCTTTACAGCTTGGAACTAGGTCAAAGCATTAGATCTTCAAAGGGGTCCAAGTTACATCTACTTTGTTAACTCTAAATCAAGCCATATTTCAAAAATAAATTAATTTTCCCCTCCGAAAGAATACGGGAGAAACACAAGTATAATAGCGTAATTCGACCCCATAAAGAGTTTTCTTATTGTTTGTAACAAAGCAGAGCTCTCTGCTTCAGTCATCTACAATACCTATTACTGCTTCCAACTGTGGTCCCACACCCTTTTTCAGCAAATGTTTTAAAGCGTGAAATCTAGGTGAAGTGCTAGCCTTCTAAAGAAAGTCTATGCTGAACTGACATTTCACATTGCACAGCCCATCTAAAATAAAATTAGGTAGCTCTAAAAATAAGTCTGAAGTATCATTTCAGATACTTCCAAATCGTATTTGCTCAAGTATGAAATCTAGCAGTCCCGAGTGACATTATTTAGAAGAGATGACTGGCCTGAGCCAGTTGCATATTCCTTATTGTTAGCTTCGTTTCACCATCCTGGAAACAGAGGAGAAATTAAGCCTAACTGAGCTTGTGCAGTAAATGTTTATAGTGGCTAATACTGATAGAAGAACAGGAAAGAGAATCCTGTGAAAGGGAAGTATAGCGTGACACGTTTTCTTACACCACCACTGAACATACTTTTACATATTTAGCACGTTACACGCTTTCTAATGTACTGTGCAGCCAAACGCAAATAAAATGTATTGTTCAAACCTGTCCATTCTCCTACATTTCTATATTTACGCATCTTAAATACTTTATACCTTCTACTTCCTTTTAAGATACTAGATAACGTACCTCTTCAGTCCATCAGGCTAGAGCCAGGAAATAGGTTACTGCTCAGTCTCCTTACGCTGTGGTGACTACCTGTTCCACAGCACACTGCAATCAAGCTCTGATTATATTAAGAGAAAGCTAAAAGCTTTGGGATGACAATTTTTCCCCCCTTGTGTTAAAAGAGGTAATCTATTGGCCATATGGAAACTGATTCAATCAGGAAAATAATATTCATTCATAGCCTCATAGAGCTTGTTTACTCAAATCAATATAATGAAAGATAATTATCTCATTGCATTCTAGAAATAGATGTTATAACCCAAGGAAAATTACACATAAATTTCAAGTAAAGCTAACCTGATTCCCTTGAGCAAGCAGGGCTTTTAATCGGGCTATTTCAGCTCTCAGCTCACGGATCAGTTTGACGTTAGGATCCTCATTAATAGTAGGCTTGTTGATGATGTTTTTGGCTCTATTTGCATAGCGAAGTGTACTTAAAGTTTCTCCATAATTGACATCAGCAGGTGAAATAGCTAAGGAGATGAAATCAGAAACAGTTTATCCAGCACCATATGTTTCATTTAGTAAAGCTAGTTTATATTTTAAAAGTCAGATAAACTTAATGTGAAGAGACAGAAATATATGATTAACCAGTATGGCTACAATTTGTTCCAATTCTTCACCTAGCTCCACTGCTTTCATGTCACTATAACTTTGCTCAAGTAAACATTGTATTGGAATAGTGTATTAGAATAATCAGGTCCAACAATCAAGCATTGTAAAGAAAACTTGCTGTCAATCTACTTAACATTTACATTTCTCTGGTAAGCATAAACGTCCTATATGAATCCTTCACAGGCTTTCTTGCAAATTTTTTTACAAGAACAGTGGGAAAAATGGTATTTTTAAGTATCAGTGTAATCATTGAATGCAAAAGTCATTTCAGGTAAAAACACAGTAGGTTCAGTCCAAGTTTTGAAGGGAAATTAAACAGCATTCAAACAAAAAGCAGACATGAAAACCAAAACAAGAGAAGAGCTTCTGCGATTTACAAACCTCGCTGTTCTGCTGAGCTGCAGGCAGAGCACACAGAACTCTTACCTCTCTGATGCATCAAGAGAAACCAGTATTATTTTTACAGGCAACTTAACCAGGAAAAACAATGGAGTTTAAATTAAAGTGCTAATGCTATCCTTCACTTAATTTTCCTAACAATATACAAGATGTTCCCAATTAAAAAGATAATTACTGCATCCAAATAGATGAGCAAAAACACAGAAGAGAACACCATGCAGAAATGATGAGGGACCAGAAATCTTAATAATCAAACTGAACAAGAGACCCAGAGAATCAGACAATGAAAACACCTGAAAAAAATAATCGAGTAACCAAAATATTCCGCCCTTCCTCATTCTCAACAGTAATAAATATTGGTTTTGTGGCAGAGACTCCAAGAATTAGGGGAGATGCACTTGGCAACAGACTACACTTCCCCTAGCTCACACTATCACTTCCCTACTTGATCTACCATCTCCTCTCCACTACTCAATTATTCTCTTTGTGGAAGGAGGTTACAATACCTTATAGAAATATGACAAATGAGAATTGGATGTATTTTTATAAGAGCCTTTCCTACAGTTTGAGATGATCTTCCTGCTTTTTTTGTGTTTAGTTACAGAAAAGGCAGGCCAAATGTATCCGGACAGCTTGTCAGGCTCTGTTAGGCAATTCAGCCACACTACCAGTCGAGTTACTGTTGGAGAAAAGATCAACCATCAGGGCTCTGCTGAGCAGAAGCATCGTTAATAGATGAGGAAGTAGCTGAAAAAGCAGCTGGGCACTGTGATCATTAGTACAGGCACTGAAAGCTCACTGTGTTTCTAACACCTCTCTTCCCAATCCTTCTGTCAAGAAAAAAAACAAAATAAAAACAACCCACCAAAAAAAAAAAAACCCAAACTCAAGTTACTCAACCATGTAATTGAAAGAAGCATCAAGAAGAAAGGTGCCAGCACAGTGCTACTTAAACAGCCAGAAAAACAAAGCAGAGTCTGATCCATGGTCCTCTTTTGGTCACTACTATGATCAGCCTGAGGAAAGACAGTGGCATGGATTCCAAAAACATCCACAAAATCATGCAAAGGAAGTGCTATCCAGAGATTTTGACTGTAACACAGAAACTGAAAAATCAGAATTTGATCCAATGCATTTTATTCCCTTGATTCTGTTCTCCCACCAGTCCCAAGAGAGGACTGCATCAGTTAGACTGCATTTCATTTGAGAAGGAAAGGGAGGCATTTCAGAGCTGCTCTTCACACCTTACATCTCCGACATTCAAATCCTCCCCTCTCCTTAAACATCCTCCCGACTTCACTTGGGGTTTTTTGAGGAAAGGAATTCCCATTCCAATTTCTTGGAAAACCTGCCATACGTATGCCATAGATAGGTTTTTAAACCAAGTGATCCTTACAGAGCTTCCTACGGGTAAAAAGGAAACCATAAGAAGAGTTTGCAAGATGACTGATCATAAATAATTAAATTTAGACAAAAAGTTAAAGTGCTGTGTGCATTCAAAAAGTAGGTTAAATAAAAATGACAATCTTACCCACTGAATGTCAAAAGAGACCAGTTGTTTCTGCTACTAATGCAACAAAAAAAACAACACAGTTTTGGAAAAGCAAACTTATTCATGCATCAGTACTGACTAAATGCACAAAGTGGATTTATTTATTTTTTTAACTGGGGATCAAATCCTGCAACCTGGGGAGGAGAGGCGTAAGGGGAGAGAAGTACAAAACCTTATCCAGGTCCAGGTTTGAGCATTTACCATGAGTAACAGAGCTGTCTGGTATGCAAAGCAGCCTCAAGAATAAACAGGAACTATTACTTGAAATTTAACTGGTCAGATGAGCTAATCACTACACTGTGTCAAAGAAACACGGCAGTGGGGTAGATGTCAGAGCAAATGTAAGCAATTAGGCACATACATTTGGATGATCCTTACTTACGCAAACAAATGTCTAACGACTGTACATATACAATCTGGATGCCTTGTTACATTTGTGACCAAACACTCAGCCAATGATATATGCACCCAAACAGATAATCTGCCGATGAAAATGAAGCTCTCAAATTCAGGAGGCATACCCACTATTGTTCATGACATTACTAAACAACTAGACTGTCCCCATATACACAATGAGACCCTATATAGTTCTAGCACTGGAAGAGATGTTGGTAAAAGAGTGTACGTAAAAGCAGAGTGTTACTAGAAAACTCAGAAAGAAATAAATCATTAACGTGTGTAAACAATGTTTTGCCTTAACAAAGCATCTGGAATGTAACTATTTACAGCCACTCCTATTAAGCATGAACTGTTCAGGATGCAAAAAAGTCGTTTAAAGACACTTACTGGCAATCATTATAGTTTTAGAGTTTCCTCCTAGGCTATCTTTTAACAGCCAAGTCAACACAGAGTCCCTGTAAGGCACAAATACTTGTTTCTTCTTTGAAAGAGGATTTGTTGCATCCTGAGATAAATCAGCTGTGATGTGGAGGTAGAAAAAAAAAAAATAGCAGTTATGCATTTTCATTCATTTTCAAAAACAGTATGCATTAGGCCACTATTTGTGTAAGTAAAAGTGAACAGAAGCGTAAATAAACAAACAGAAAGGTATTTAATGACTAAACCCAAAACAGAGAAGCACAAAAAACAGACTTACCTAAGGCAGAAATAACATTTCCCAGAGTAACTAGGGATTTGTTAATATTCCCTCCTTCCTTTAATCTAACCCCTGTGGCACCAGTGGCATCTGCTCTCTCACTTCCAGCAAGATCTACCAAATGAATCTTGCTAACAGTTTCACAAGGCATTTCAGAATCAAATTTAGCCTACAGAAAAAAAAAAAGAAAAAAAAAACAATACAAAGAAAAGCATGTTAAGCTACGGAATTCTGAAGTTTTACTGAAACCAACTTAGTGGCCTTTTTCATGTCATGATTGAATTTAACTTGTTTACAACAGCAGAGCTTCAGAGGACAGGTGTATTAGAGGTGCCACAGAAAGGCATTTGAACATGAGCTGCTGCATAACTCCCACACAAGGAGCTACTTCTTTAAATTGTAATATTTGCAGCTTTCTAGCCACTTACGCACATGCACTGACGACTGCGAATTGGTATTTACATGATGCACAGTGAATATGTGCTACATTCATTTTATTAAGCTTTGAACATTTATATTTATATTTAGCTTTCAACAAGTTATAGCATACACAAACACATTTACACTTAATTTCTTCCCCTGCCTCCAAGTTCAACTAAGTAGCAATTGCAGTTTTATTCTATGATTTTAACTGAGGCTTCCTCCCAATTTTTATCTTAATTCATATAAATCAACTCAGATTTCCCTGTTTCGAACTTCCTTCTACTTCTACAGTACAACAGTAGAACAAAACCTGTTGCTGCTTGCCTCTCATCCTCTTCTGAAAGCTTTGCACTGAGCAGTTCATCATTAGTGAACAGCTGGTGCACAGGATTTTGTGTGTGCGTGTTTTTGGGGGGAGACATGCAAGGTTCTGTCTGGAGAGCGAACCACCTCTATGCTACCTTCTTTTCATCTAGCAGGTTATCCGTGGACTGTCTAAAAAGCCCCTCAAAAACAACGATGAAGAGCAGGAGTCATTAGAAAAGGAGTTTACTACCTATAAACAAAAAGATCGCTATGCTCTGAGAAAACCTGTTAAATCTCTCCATTATTCCATCAGTAAATCAAGGAATATAAATAGGTTTCCAATAGTAACAGATGAAGAGTCAGCAAGAAAACACTCAGAAAATGTTTCGACGCTCTACAATTTGGGCCACGGAGACAGGGGTTTTTTTTGTAAACCTTGGATAACATCGGAGCACAAAAGGTAGCCCATGTTCAGCGCTGGCTGAAGTCTCACACAACGTGCTCCCCACCCACAGCAGCACCGTGAAACACGCCAGCACTGGTCACTGTTGTTCAGCCTGAACTCCCAATAATTATCTCCTCAAAATCTATTAAATATCATTTTCAGTAATCACATTACACCTCAAATTTTAAAGATTCTAAGCACTGATAAAACATATTTATAATTCTCAAAACAGTATTGTCACACTTTTAACGTCTCTATCAAAAGACAACATAGTCATTATCTACCCATACTTGCTTATTTGACAACCTTATTTTTTAATTATCATATGAATTATTGAATGTAAACACATATTAAGACAGGGAGTTTTGTTTTGTTACCTGAGTGAAGTTGATCGTGAAAATGGCATGTGACCTACTACTGACATCATTCATTCCAGTTGCAGCCGTCGTTCTATTTATATTTCCTGCATCCATGAGTTCCTCTACATCAGTATAATTTTGCACTAAATGTTTAGACAAATCTAAAGAAAAGCAGAGTGTTACAGTATGCTTATACATGCACTTGATTTTCTTTACAAAAAGATTCTAATTACCCTCACTACTGCAAAGTACTGCTGCAATTAGTGCTTATTGTCATACTTGTTTATCACTTAAGGAAAGGAATGAGGCCTCATGAACAATGGAGAACTTACACATTTACAGTAAATTAAGAAAAAAAATATGCAATCGTACTAAAGTATTTAGTGCAATAACATAAGCATAATCTCTCAAGAGGCAGGAACCTTCCTTGGCAGAGGATGGATTAAGACAATTAGATCCTAATAGGTTCTTTCCATCTAAACATTACAGACTTATAAATTACAATCAACCAATTCTTAAAACCAATTGCATCTCATAACATTATTTAAAAATGTGTTATAAATTTCCAGACAGAAACTGTATATGCATAATAATCTTAGAATTCGGAAAGCGAGTGAGGATACAAACTGAAAGGCTATTCTCCTTTAATGCTTTTATACCAAAGGAAAACACTGTATTCACCATCTTTTATATTTTAAAAGATAAAAATGCCCTGTGCAATTAGACATGACATTTTAAAATATATAAAGATAATAAAATATCAAATGAGAAACACTGAAAGTGTTTTTACCCTCAACATATGGCCCTTCTTTTGGATGTTCTCGTATTCGTAAATTATTTGTTTTTGATGACTTCCGTCTGAGAAGATCTCTCACACGTTCATTATAAATTTCCAGATAACTGAAAGAAAAAAGATTAGAACACCACTGACTGATTCAAGAGTCTTTAAACAAAAGGAAAGCCATGTTAACACTGTGTTTGAAAGCAAGATGCCTGGAGAAGCAAACGGATCCCAAGCTGGCTTACCATAGTAATGACTACAGCGTATTTGTATCATAAGGAAAAAAGCCAAAAAAGCAAGAAGTAGAAAGGAAGCAGACATTAGCAAGATCAAGAACTCCTAATGTCAGCCTGAAATAACGGGTAAAAATAAGGAAGATGCTGCCTAGTAGCAAAGGCATTTTCACTATCATTTAAATAAAGCAAAACGCACAGCTGTTGGATTGAAGTTAGAAGTACTGCACATTTTGACTATGACTGCCAACAAAAATCAATTACAGGACTGAGGCCAAGCATGGAAAGTTATTTGAAAAACACGCACTTTTCTCAGAGATAATAAGTGGAACAGGGTGGTTGTAACTGTAACAAGTTTGATAACCAGCAAGCTATTAATATGCCAAGACCTACCTGACTTCTGTTCGAAAGGATGCCTCATTCCGCTTTGTTTTTTCGCTTATTTTGCTGAATAATCCTTCACAAATTCGAGGTATTAAACCTGCATCACCCTGCAATAACAACAATTCTTATTTCCAAGGCTATATATGCACGCACAATATATTTTGAAAAATAAAACACAAGATAAGAGTTCCAACATCCAGAAAAGGGGAAAAATGAAAGCTTTTCAGCAAATACTCTCTTGCCCTTTATTTACCTGCAGTCATCTTGCCACGTTAAGACTCGTGTGTTGGAACGTACATACTAGCTGCAATTCTTTGCTATTGGGATACATTTCACCCCTGTCACTTAACTCAAAGAACCCCAACCGTTAAAGGCGGAAACTGGCTGCCCAGAGCAACGTATGAACTGCCTTATCTCAATACTATCTTTTCTAACTTCTCCTTCTACCTCATTTCACTACGGACTCGGCAACATCTGCAGAGAATGGGACAAGAGCCATCCATATACACACATCCACGAACCATTCTCATTCAAATCCCCAATCCCCAACTCACAGTCCTTCCTGTCTTGAAAGATGCAGCAGGTCCTCTGGATAAATTAGCATGCAAAACCAAAATTAAAACTACATCCGCTGTATCCCACAACGCAGCCAAATTAAATTTAACTTCTGAATGCTCGACTCTGCAGTTAAAGAGTTTTTATGTACAAAGTGCTCGGTCAGTTTAATAAAGCAAATTGAAACAAACATTCCTTCTCACAGATCCCTACAGACTACGTGGTTTACCAGCAGGGCTGCAACTATCCATTACATGGTCCTTGCCACTTCAGCTGACACAGCAGCAGGATGTCATCTTCTCGGTTAAGCTGGCACTTGAGAATTGACCCTCATCCCATTAAGGCTGCTGCTCCACCACTGGTGTCAAACACGTGCCACCCTGTGAGGCAGCAGCTAACACCGCTGAGATTTCCAAAGACTTAGCATGCAGCTCTCCTCCTCTTCCCATTGCTCCAGGGAGACCCCTTTCCAGCCGAGCAGCGCAGCAGTAAGTCGAAGACAGGGTTTTCCCCAGCAGCAGAGAGGAGCAGGAGAGTGCCATGCAGCTCCAGTCTCAGCTGACAAGGGGCTGCTTGCTCCCAGCTGCCCCATTCCCACCGAGTCTGATTAGGTAGACACTAACTCCCTGCTGAGCACACCTCCTCCCCACCGCTTCAGGAAGACAGCAGCTAACGCTCCTTCACAGCTCTAAGGAGTGAATGTGGCTCCCAGGAATGAAGGGAGAGGACATATACATACAGATGAGCTTTGGGCTCAGAGCTGCAAACTCAGAAGTAGCTTACAAAACAGTTTGTCAGCTACAATTTGCCTCCAGTCCAAAAACACATAAGAAATTTGATGTGATGGACTAATTCCAATTCTGTGCACCGCTGAGGCAAGAAATGTTCTTGCTTAGAATTAGGGGCCTTGTAATTAAGCAGGAGGCAACTTAAACCAGACCGAACATCCAACGTGAGCACAGCCCAGGGGCTCCAGGCACCCACGCGAGTTTGCCTGGTGGGATTCTACAGTTATCTGGCAGCAGGAAAACATGACAACAGTGGACTACTCTGCAGCAGACTCTGGCAGGGCGAGTGCTCCACGGGCAAAGATTTCTCTTCTACTCTGAACCCCACATAAAATCTGACCCTCTTTGCCCAAGCCCACTCCAGTCTGCTCCTGTGCTGGTCCCCTCTGTCCTCATTCTTCAGCTTCCCGCTGCATTCTCTGTCCCAGCCATCATCTTCCAGGTGCTACCTCTGAGCTGCTCTTCCTATTTCCTTTGCCCAAATATAATTCCTGATTCATCATCCAGTCTCTTTTTTTAAATCATATTCTTTTTCCAGCTTCTTCCTCCTTTTAATCAGAGGCTCTCTGTCTTTCTCAAACCAGGCTTCATTCTTTGAAATAATAATCTATTCTCTCCTTCTATCACACCTAGCCTTTCACCTGATTGCACCTGGGTTAGAAAAAAAAAAAACACTTTTTTTTTTGAGACAGTTGCCTTTGGTAACAGAGGATCAACCTTTCCCAATATGTATCAATCTCTACTCCAGATAAAGTTTCAGGGTTCAGTGTTGGAATTTCCCTCATGCCTTTTTTTTTTTTTTTTTTTTTTAAACACAGGAAGAGGAAAAAGTAAGACTTTTCTTTCGTCTTATGCTTGGAAACACCTGAACAGTTTTAATTAAAGCTTAAGGAAAAAACATGAAAGATCCATCACAAAGTTTTAGGCAAGTCATTAGTGTCTGACATAATTTAGCAACTGCAAAGAGAGTCTGAAAATAGGAAATACTAGCTCTAATTGAGTAACTTCAACCATAGCAATATAGTGATGAGAAAGGAAGAACACACAGTTCCCAGCATATTTCATCAGTAAAATATACATCTTACAGAATGTACACTCTTTATTAGAAACTATATTTAAACATTTTCTCCCTTTTCACTCCTTACAGCTCCAGGGCAGGATCAACTACATCTTTGACAGATTTTTTTCTGGGTTACAGAGCTTCCAGTCATGGAAATCTGTAGAACCAAAATAGGCAGTTCACTCCAAAGCTGAATTTTCTCATTAAAAGCCTGTTTTCCTTCTGTGCTATCCAACCAGAAAGCTCCTTACTGCAATTCAGATGTACTGTTGCTGGGTAAAAAACCTTGGACATAGGGAACAATTTATTCCCTTCCTTTCTGCAGCAGCCTTTCACATCTTGGAAGACTTTTGTTCCTCCACAGTCTTCCTTTCTCTGCATACACAAGTTTGACTTCCCTGATAGATCCTATCTTATAGACCTCTGGTCGTTTCAGTATCTCTGCTCAAGACTTATTCTAACTGGTCCACATATTTCTTGAACTGATTGCGGCACACAGTATTGCAGAAGAAGCCTTCCAGAGCCAAGAACAGCAGATATTGAAAGCAAAATGAGAATACAATTCATATTTTTTAAGGAGAAGTAGGGAAAAAAGAGAATTTATTTCCAATTCAAGTTTTCTTATAGCACTGTAGTCTCTCTGACAGGGCTACCAATTATCAAGCATCTAACTTGGCAGATGAGTATATTTTATCCATGCTCTGTACAAAGCCAGATTGAAGTATTTATGTATCATGGCAAGAAGATTAGACCTTTATTATTGAACAGTGTCAAACAAACTTCAGCACCTATTCATTTGCAAAATGTCTTGATGATTACGGTCATCACATACAGTGAGGCAGTCTCATAAAAATGTCATTTTTATAAATATCCGAAATAGAAATCCACATCTAGGCCATAAGATCTTTTCTGGTTACAAAAGTCTATTCTGCTTACCATATTGAAGTTAAATATAAAACTACTTATTCTGTGACAACTGAAAGAAAAAGATTTACAGCTAATTTACTCTCCTAAGCTGAAGGAGGTGCAAAGTGGCCAATCTTACTACATTTCAGAAGAGTGATCTATCTAAGGAAGGACAAGTGGCAATATTCCCCTTTTCAATTCTGCTAGGAGAAAACATGCTGTATTTTCTTTCCCAAGGATTAAAGGAGAATGAAATCTGTAGAGGTTGCCTTGCAAACAGGCTTCATCAGTCGGCCCTTTTAAATTGCTCCACTCCCAACAGTTTAGTGGGTTCTTTCTATCCTTGGGCAGCCATGGAAGCAACTGCAAGAAACTACTCCCGTCCTTCACTCACAAACTGCCAAATGCCCCTCCTACCACACCTTCCTCTTCCAGGATCTTCACTGGAGTGCTCAACGGGACTTAATCCTTAAAATAAAAGTTACTGTATCATCTCATAATGGTTTGCTGAAACTTACATTTAGCAACTCTCATCCCCAGTTTCTATTCCTCACTTGATAGCCTTCTCTAAACAAGGGTCAAGGACCTATTTTAATCTTCTGACCCTTCAAGAGAGGCCCAAAAAACAGATCTCTTCAGAAAGAGCTGATCATTCATGTTCTCAAAATCAGTACCTTCTTTTTTGTCTCAAGTTGGGCATAGAAAATCAGCAGTAACATTTGAAATTTTTGGGTTCGTTACTGAACAAAAATTATTGCTTTTTGTCCAACATAACAGGGTATCACTTAAAGACACTTCTTCCAACTATAAATATCTACCTATAAAAGAAACAGCTTCTAAAACCTCTGATTACTACCAGAAGGTATGATAGATGGATCCCATAAAAACATGCTCTTGCAATAGCATAATTTCAATGTATTGCTACAGAATAAAAATGCACATTTGCAAAATACAACATACCGCATTTCCCATCATGGTGTACGACTTCCCAGATCCAGTCTGTCCATATGCAAAAACACAAGCATTATAACCTTCAAAAGCAGATTTAAGCACATCTGTACCAAGATTTTTGAAAACCTAAAGACAGAGAAAGTTTTTTAAGACAACAGAAGCGTGGGGAAAAAAGTTGTCATCAGCCCAGCATGGCAAATATTAAACAATAAACTACCACAATATAAGCTATTGGCATCAACCAATGATATTTACTATAGGACAGGAAATTAGTACTTCAAATAAAATACTAAATTTTACTACCATATTTAGTTTACAGCACTGCAACAGTCCATTTTCTACTTCTTTTTCTGTCAGAGATCTACTTGACATGCAGAAGTACAAAAAAAAAAAAAAAAACACTCCCTTCTTTCTATAGATCCAATTTCTTTCAGCTCATCTCAGATACTTCATTCACTTTTCCTTATTGTTACTATCTATTCACTTCTTGTATCTTTGCCAACTCTCCATGTTTTGCAAATATCCAGCCCCTTCTCCAAAGGAAATGTTTCAGAGATCCTGTCAGTTTCTTGGTTTGTGTTTTTGTAGGGTTTTGTTTGGTTGGTTTTGGTTTTGTTGCTTTAACCACATGTAAGAAAATGAACCATTATTTTCCCCCTATTTCCTCCCTAACCTGCTTTTACATACCAATACTTTTTCGGCTGGCAAACATGAAAACATGTTTTCTGTATGGTAAGTGACCCTCTTTTCTCAGCTAGCCCCTTCTCTTTTGCCCTCAACATTTACCTCTGAAACTGGTACTGATCCTCCTCCACATCCCATAATATGGGGGTCTGTTCCCACCTAATAAGTTCAGCTCCCAGCACATGCCTTCATCACCTTCCTCTGCAGTACCACTTCCAGTATCCCTCCCAGATTTCTGACCTTTCATCATCATTACCCCTCATTTCCATCCATACCCGCACTGGTGCAGCTTCTCTCTCAACGAAACGATTAATCTGGGTCTCCCAATCCAAACATGATTTTCAAAAATCTCATAGATGCTTCACATCATTTGGCAACTAGTCTGTAGTATATGTGATTTACATTAACCACGGTGTACAAGTCATTATTAATAGCGAATGGCGCACGCACAGTATAATCATGCCACTGCTACAAGGGAGGAGTGCTGGGTAATTTCTTTAATCATTAATGCTCAGATGCAAGCATGCCTTTGGAATACTTAACTTGACCTTCCCTTGAGCAAAGGAGTTACAATGCTGTAATCTGTTTTACTTCTCAAAGAGGAAGAGTATAAAGATCAGCCACAGCACAATTTCCCTTTTGCTTCTCATTTGAAAAGGAGCATCGTAGTTGAATTCTCCCTCCTGAGTAACTGCACCTTGATTTTTTCCCCTCTTTTCCCTTTCTCTATCTCCAATTTTTTAGCTCGCCATCTGGACCAAGTCTTTATGGACTATTGTTTTGACTGCATTTTCTCTTTCAAAAATTTGCGTATACCTTGCCATAGTGATTTGAGGCAGTACATAGGATAGACAGTTACAGTCAGTGTTGTCTGAACACAGAGGCTTAACACACAGGTTAGAAGACAAGACATGGTTAGCATGGGGCTTTGTCAGAACCAAACAACTGGGACACCGGTTTGTCACAAAAGGGCAGTAAACTCATCAAAATTCTATTCATTTCTCTTCCATGTGTACAAATTAAGTAGCTTGATGGTAAATTGCCACTCCCGTTCTAATTTTTGAATACTAAAGCATATTTTGCATCTACAAGGCATATTAATGGGGCATGTAGTATTAGATACGACTTCCCTTTATTATTTTTCTGCCTTTCAAAAGGAAAACCATAACAATCATGAACAAAGCGCACTAGGCAATCGCATTACCAACAATCAAGATCAATTTTATTCCATGGCAAGATGAATGTGAATGAAAGACGCCCTTCTTCTATGCCACTGGTGCAGTAAACTGGAAATTCTACAGCAACTTGATAAGAGCTTAACTACAAAGTCTTCCAATTAAATATGAAATGAATAACACAAGCAAAACAATAGCTTGTGCAGCTTTTGTTTAGAAATTGCACTCCCATGGTTTGAAAACGCCTTTTGTTTCCAATGCGCTGTGCACATTGTAATTAAAACAACACTTGACACAGGGACAACAATATTTTTGTGGCTGAGCAAGAGAAGTTAGCGTTCTCGCCAGTAAGGACGAAGGAGGCAGGCTGGGGTTGTGGGACACGCTGTAATAGCAGAATATTGAGCATGGACATCTAAGCCACGGTTAGGATTTATTGTTAGCATCCTATTACTACCCACCCTAAAGCTCACAGCTTTAAAAAAATCATTGCTCAAGGCTGCTGCAGCCCTTTTTCTATAAGCTCCTGACAGAGGCAAGTTATACTGATCTTGTCTCAACCTGACCCGCTCTGAAACAGAGGCAAAATGGCACCAGTTGGGAAAAACTTAAAATAAGGAAAACTTAATTTATCACTTATATGTGGAAACTGGACATCAACACAGGATACAACTCAGATATCCATTTATATTAATTCAAGTCTCCTTTGCAAATGGCTGTTTTAACAAGAATTAACTTAATAATTTCACAGCACATTCAGATTCTGGAAAAACCTGCATTGTACCAGTAACAGCTTAACAACACAACGGACTCTCTTCCTGGGATTCTTCTAATGAGGCCTTGTCTAACATAGCTTTCCAGAAGTATCTAAAGTCAGGTAAAGAAAGAGCTACCTAAAGGATCCAGGAATTAAATATCCATAAACCTAAGCCACAAATGGTACTTCAGAAGAAATTCTGTAACTACCTTTATAGGACATTTTGCAGACTTTTCCAAATATGCATTGATACATCATTAATACTATTTTACGGAGATGTATTCATCTATATCAGGAAGAACTGAGAATACAGTAATCAGTTATCACTGAGAATTATACACATTTTCAAGAAACTAAGTAATATTAAACTGAGACCCTAATCAATTTGTATCAGCAAACTTAAGGCAATCATTTGTTGCGCATGTGGAACCACAACCAAAAATCTCAAGTTTCAGTTAGAATCAGAGCAGCAAAATAAATGATCAAAGCTGCTTCAATTAAAATAAATAACTAATTCTCTGCATGCTCAACTTAGAAGCATTTGCTAAAGTTCTAGTAAACCCACGTGGCCTGAACTGCCTGCTTAAAAACATCCACTAGAAACTAGGCTTCCAATCATTGCACTCAAATACACTACTTCTTGAATTTGCCACAGTGCTAAAATAATTAGGGTATTTCTACATCACGCCCAAATAAATGTATACTTCTTGATATCCCAGAGAATATAGCGCAAATTGTGTTACTTAAAAGAATATCACCAAGAAATAACAATCCAGAAAGTTTAAGAATACACATGATCAAATGTTTGGATTAAACACTAACTAATAACTCAGTGAAATAAAGAAAGAGGCTTTCAGAAAAAAAAGAGGACCTACCCTTACACTGACGGTTAAATAGAAATTTCAAGTATAAATTCCCTATCAAACAATTATAGCCGTTATATATAATGGCAAAGCTTGTCCTTCTCATAAATACTTAAAATTGGCTTCAACTTACTGTTTCTTACTAATAGTTTTAATTCTGAGGCTTTTTAGTATTAGCCATACCAATATCCCTGATTTGGGGGGTTACAGAATAGACGAGGTACATACCAAAACGGTGTGTATCCAACTGGCTTACAGTATATTCAGCAAACCCTTGCATTATTTTAAGGGGAAAGAAATACTCTCACCTTAAGCTTATAGCATCCCAAGTTCCACAAAACCAAAAGAGAAGATAGCAATCACAAAACACTTGAATTTTACTTAATAGATTTATTTGGGAATGTGAAATAGCAATAAGGTTCAACGTTCACATGAAATGCAACGTCAGGGAGGGTCTATCTGTTCATTTGATTTTCTGTTCTGAGCATGCAGGAAGAAAGGCAGTTTTGTTCTTTCCTAAGCTGAATACTCAAGGGAGGAGAAAGAATAATCATCTTCAATGTGCACCAAGACTTTCGGACAAAAAAAGCCCACTTCAACCAGATAAGAATGTTTCTGTCTAAATGAATTAAAGATACATGCTTGTTTCTCAAAAGTGTTTTTTTCAAAAAGCTTTTCAAAAACAAATTTAGTGCTCAGAGAAGTTTTCTAACTTGACCTTACAAGACAAATCAGACGAGAATTAGAAAGAAGGCATTTAGCCTGCTGTATTAGAAAACACAGCACTTAGCAATGTTAGATAAGTTAAAAGAAAACAAAATTCAAATTCTCAGGTACCTAGGGAATTTCTAAATTACACAAGAAGCACTTTCAATGGAAAGAAGTTTCAAAGAATGTTTTCAAGTCAAATAAAAGGGAAAGGAAAAAAAAAAAATCAATTATTAACATTCAGAAATCCTACCATTTCTTGACAAACAAAGCTGGGACTTTTACTGTCTGCTGAGAAATAGGAAAAATCATAGGTAAAAAGGAGCTGGTACAATACATTCTGATGAAGTAAATAAAAACATTGTACAACAACTAATCAGAATGCACATTTAACATAAGGCTATACACATCTAGAAATTGATAATGACAGGTTCGCCTATTATTCCAACAACAATGAAAAGATTAACAACGGATATACTCTTCAGCAAGGATAGTCAAGTTA